GGAGAAGTGCTTTCTCGTGCGGCGCCTTCCCGCAAATTGCGTCAAGAATCGATGGGCAAGTTCTTGCCATGAGTCAATGCAGCCCTCGGGCAATCGATTGAACCACTCGTAAGCCGGCCCCTCTAAGGTGGAGAGGAACCAGCGGCACAAATATTCATCTGATGCCCCCACCATCATCATGCTGTTTTGGTACCTGCTGTAGTGCTCTTGGGGGTCAGTCTTTTCGTCGTAGGGCTTGATGAGCTGCCCTCGGTATTTTTCCGGGATCCGGGCCACCAATACCCTTGGGGTAAATGGCGTCCGGGTTCGGAGCTGTATGGTGGGTTCCCCGGAGCCCTCGACCATCTTCTTCTGCATTTCCTCCATCTTGGCCAACATCGCCTCATACTTGAGGTCTGTATGAGGGGCAGAAGTGGTGGTGTGGGCTTTGGTGGCCTCCATCTCGTCAAGCCGGCGCTGGAGGGACGCAATGATTTCGTCCCGGGGGTCCTTCGGGAGAGCCTCCGCCCCCTGCGAATGGACACGGGCCGAGTGGGCTTGGTTGATTTGGTGGCGGGCGTCATTGTCATGGAGAGGTGCCTTGCCTTTGTCCTAAGGGGGACACCTTTCATTGGCCCTGGAGACGGATCCGCCAGTTTCCTGAGGCCTCTGGAACGCCTTCCCCTCGAGGCGGTCTTGGACCCCTCGAGGCGGTCTTGGACCCCTCGGCGGTCTTGCGCCCCTCCGAGTCTCTCGAGGGCGGAGGTCCGGAGTTGTTCTTTGTTCACGTTGTGGCGGTCCCGGGATTGGACTTCCTGGGAGGCCATATCTTGGGCCACGACCCCCTCGGAGTTCCCAATCCAGAGGACCGGGTTCCCGAGGGGGTGTGGATGAGGGGGAGGCATAATATTCTCCCCGGCCTGAGGTTGGAGGGGAACCAAAGTGCCGAAGGCACCCGGGTTCTGGGTGAGCGTCTGGATGAAGGCGGAGAGCGCCGATTGCACGTCGATTGTGATGACCGGAGGGCTAATTTGATTCTCGCTCCGGTCCTTCTTCTTGGCCTCGATGCCGAGGCGGGCATTGGGGGCATTCTGTTGAATTTGCTGGCGTAGGTCGACAACCGTCAGGTCCAACCCGGCGATGACGCCGCCCCCGGGAGCCCTGTTAGAGGCTTCGGGGACGTCGACTTCGCCGAGGGCCAGGTTCCTGTCCTCGACATTCTTGGAATTGGCACGAGTTGTTCTCACCATCTTTGTTATGTGTTTTTGTATTTGGCGAGGGGGCGGGGGGGGGGGGGGGGGTTTCTTACTTGATTGTTCGACCTCTCAACGAGAGCACCAAATGATGGATAGTGTACCCGGGGGTAGCTTATCCGAAGGGTTATTACGGGGAATAACTAGAGAGAAGCCAGAGCAAGTAAGTAGAGAGAGAGTATATTAGAAAATGTATTCAGTGTTTTCAGAGTGGTTTACAACGGGGAAATGGGGTGCTATTTATAGTAGTAATAAATGCCAGACAGGGACACGTGTTAAACACCCATTGGCCGAGGGGTCACCTCAACTGGTTGGCGCTGGCAACCGCATGTGGCCGCATTTAATGCGGCTGTTGGATGTGACGTCGTACTTGGTACGGTGATCTATACGCATGTGGAGCGGATATTATGTCGGAAAAGGTGCCCTCGGCTGTAGGTGATTAGCCGAGGGCTCTGAGTACCGGGGACCTCCTTAGTGCCGAGGGCTCCAGGTGCTGAGGGCTACTGGTTTTCGCCGTTTTCTCCCAGTAACTTTGTTTTCCTGTTTTGAGCCTCATGTGAGAATCAGAGCCTTCGGCCAGGGGGCCGAAGGCACTCCTAGAGGTCACTGTGGGCCGCTTGGTACTCTGGGTGCCCTGATTTGGGCCTGTTGTGCTTCCTGGGCCTATTGGGCCTTTATTGGAGTAGTAGGAGTCTGTGGACCGGGGGTTCCCGGGGCATATACTCCATCAGTAACCTCATTGGATACAGCACCCCTAAAGGATTCTGGAATGCCACGCTTTATGATCGATCATAAGACTTAAGCGATTCGAGCGATCCCACTTCTCATAGTACGTTTTTTCATCTTGGGTACTAGCATCCGTAAGAGAAGCGGGTTGCTCTACCCTTAATGCTAAGTCAAGATCCGTGCAACCCAAAGTTATTAGAATATTTTCTTTCCATTCCTTAAAGTTAGTACCATTTAGGACAGAGATGGAGTTGAGATTGGCAGATATACTCGAAAAATTAACTGTACAAAGAACAAGATAATAAACATATATTTTAGTGAAATTGTAAAATGATATTTAACCCATCACAAAATACCAAATGCACCATTAGTATTTCATCTTTGGACAAAAATAATAATTGCTAGCAGTACTCTTGTTGTAATAATAAAATATAACAATAATACATATAAAAGAAAAATCCACCTTTGGGTTGACTTTTTTCTTTTAAAATGCAACCTTATAATTGTTATATATTATTTATTATTACCAAATTGTATATATAAATAACTTTACAAAATATTAATCTTCCTTTGTGCCGATTAATATTTACTTGAACTATATATATACCATGTTTAATATTTTATATGAGCAACTTACACAATAGGATCACTTTGGTGACATATTGTTTCTATGTACCCATTTAAATACTAAACTTCATTTATTTTACAATTTCCCTTCAAAAATGTTTACCACACTTCTACTTTAAATAAAATATGTGCGGTAAGTAACATCGATTTGAACATGAACAACATCAATTTAATCACAAAGTTTGATAATAAAAATAGCATGAAATTAATCAAACTTCAAAAAGTAAATCCAATAGATGAGCATCAACTTAATACACAATACGGAGTATAATTTGATTCAAATTATCAAAACTTTTATCGAGACACAAAGTTTAATGTAATCATGACATATAAGTTACATTACAATAATGACAAAAAACGGTTGCCATATAGTTCACCAGTTTCCACTTGGTGGAAGAAAAAATTTAATTAGTCTTTAGCATCTTTATTTAGATATATGCAAAACTAATGATTTAAACCCACAAGGCCACAATCGTACGGAGTATTGAATCATATCTTAGGCAAAAATTCATGCGATCAAAAATTTGAAGCACTGAATTATAGATTAAAACTTAGAGATATGAGTCTGTATGAATAAACATGCAGCGGAAATTAAAATGCTTGACAAGTCATTCTCAATCAATAATTAAACACATGAGTCAATTCATCCCAGAGAAACATATGTTAGAATAAATAGACAATGAAGAAACATTCGGATATCATCTGATCAAAGTAAAGTACTGAATTATTGATAAAAGCTGAAGACCTTTTCACACATATGAATCCGAAACTTCACAAATTAGCACTAATAATAATATTATGCGGCACATGATTTATATGATTGAAATGGTTCAAAAAAAAAACTTCGGACATCACCGATTCAAATAAAATTTCAGATATATCGATGAACGCATATGCCGACTAAGGATAAATTCCATGGATCTATAATGGTAGACTCTGATACCAATTGTTTGATATCCATACATATATCAACAAAACTCCATATGCGATATATATATAAATATATAATAGCTAAATCCATATAAATCAATGAAATCAAGTATGTATGAAATAAGATTAGAATAATACCTTGAGAATTCATTTACATTAACACTTTAGGAAGAACCCAGAAATCCAAGACCGCTAGTAGGCTAAATCTTCCGATGCCGTGTATCGAATATGAGATAATCTTAATCCTATAATAGATGGGATATTTATAGGAGTAAGTTGGCTCTTCTTATTCCTAATAATAATTCCTTAATTATTGTTGCAAAAATGATATTATTTAGAATAATTTATAAGGCCATTTTCCGTTACAATATCTTTACTGTTATCTCTTAATTTACACGCACCGGGGGTCATAACCGTTGTATCACTTTAGTGTAATATATTTAATTTGACCCGTCACCAAAAAAAATATATTATCCTGGTATCTACATTTTTATTATTTGATGAATAGCCATTGTATTATTTATATGATGGTAAACACATTTTAATTAATTACATATTAGGCCCCTTTTATTATTTTCCAACATTAATAACACAATCATAAATTTCTTTCTGTTCACTTGTTAACGATGGAAGTAACTGCATCGTTAAATATAGTATTTTTCGGTCCCAAAAATAATTGCTTTGCAATTTGGGATTTAAAAATGATCGATGATAAAGTTAAGTTTACATGTAAATAATTTAATCAAGTTTACTAAGTAAAAAAAATTAGATACTCAAAAATTATATTCAGAACTCTTTATAGTTGCAAAATCCAAACTAAAATATAATAAAAAATTACTCCTTATATTACTCAAAAATTAGATTTTGCATAAAATATAATAAAAAATTACTCCTTATATTACTCAAAAATTATATTTTGCAGATCATTTGGATCATGTGAGTATCGCTTAAATTACACTTTTATATTTTTTCCTCATCATTGAGCATGCAAAAATAATTGAGGAAAAAGCTAACGCGGTTGACTTCCGATTCCGAATTATATTCTTGTGAAGCGTTTGAGGAGTTGGGATTATTTTTCTCTTTTGCTTGCTTAAATGTATGAATTATTGATGTTAATTTTGTCTTTTTCTTCTTTGATTCCATTAAAAGCTTACAGAGCCGCCCCCATAGTCATACACGGACAACAAACCTCAGAATTTTATATCCCAAAAACCTCTGTACTTTTGGCTCCAAAAACAGAGCCTGGCAGTATTTATGTTTGACTTATATATGTTGCTTGCTGGATGGTAGTTTATGAAGGCCCTGGAATTCATGAGAATCTAGAGGAAGAAGCTTGATATAGATGCTGAAAGTGCTGAAGCCATTGGTGCACCTTCTGGTGCCGCTATGCGTTCACTTGATCGCTGATGCGATGACTAAGTCTGTGCTGGTTGATGTCACCACCTCTGCTCTCTGCCATGGCAAATCCTCCTGCTCTCAAGCTATTTACATCAATGGACTCCAGCAAACTGTACCTATTTCTCTCTTCCTTCACCCTTTCCTTCTTTTGTGTGTAAAGATTGTGCCTTTTTATAATATGGTTTTGTTATCAAGAATCATTTATCAAATCACTCCTCTTATACTCTACAAACTCATTTAAGCCAACCTACTTCAAGTTTCATTATTTCTGGTGCCTTTCTTTGTATCGGGGTCAATTAAAGTATGAAGATTTAGGCTATGGTTGGCATTCTACACGGAGTCATAGAATAGAATATATTTAGAGCCAGTTTGGTAAAACTGGAATCGGCTGAATCGGCTTATCCTGTTGAAATTTATGAAGTTCTGGCTTAAGTGGCTGTATTGGCTGCTTCTGTTGATTTATGAAAATTTTAAATGTAAAATATATTTTATTAATAAAATAAAGAAAAATATATATGTAAAAATAGCTAAAATGGTCATCTACAGTAACTTCAGCCGAAACAACAAGAAAAGTAACTCCAACCTTATTTTTTCTTATTATTACTCATTTTAGCACGTGAAATCAAAAGTTACGTTTTGATGAAAAAGTTGACTGATAAACCTGATAAGTCGAATAATAGTTTTACCAAACGGGCTCTTAATTAACTTTCTGTGCATGGCAACGGAGACAAATTTGACATTTTTCTGTTTTCTCCTCGATCAATTTAGAGTTTTGCTAGGAGTACCCCAAAATGTACCCCATTTTTACCCCAATCCCTGATGTGTGGTCATAAATGGGCCAATTCATTTAAGTGATGCCCCACTTAAATGAATTGCCCCATTTATGACCACACATTAGGGGGTGGGGGTAAAAATGGGGTACATTTTGGGGTACCTTTAGCATTTGTGATCAATTTATCTTCTTGACGGCGCCGTCTAATAAATCTAGAAGGTTCTATTCTGGATACCAAAATTAAACGTGACCCCTATTACAATTAAGTTTAAATTTTAAATAAATGATATACAGAGTAGTGTATAACAAAGAACTCTTAAACTCACAATATATTATACGCCGTGACATATTTTATATTATTATCTATGTCCTATAATGTAAAATGTATATGCGTTTCGTGTGAGTTTCAAGAAAATAAAGAATAAAATAGTTGTTTTACAATTCTAACCATTAAAAAGAAAAAGAGAAAAATAGACCTAGAAAAAGTAAAATTTGAAATGATAAATAAATGATTGAATTGGGAAAGTTAGTGGAGTCTAGATTAAAAAAGTTTATAGTTTTTGGACAACCCAAAAAAAGAAAATATATCTTACAGAGTATTAGTCTATTACTCAATCGGTCCCTTAAAAAGTTAAAACTTTGCCAACTTTCACTTTTTGATTGTACCACTAATTTTGCTTCTCTCTTTTAGGTAAAGAATTTGTTGTTCAAATTAACTCTCTTTCTGGTGCCGGTCAAACTTGACCAAGTTCCAAGGAAAAGTGATACTATTTTTCTATATTATTATTATATGAAGTATGATAATAATGTAATGAGAAAAGAGTCATCACCATTCACCAGGAACAATATAATGTTTGCAGACAACTCTATGTGCATGAAACTGACAAGTGTACGAAAGATCTACACCAAAAAGTGTACACCAAACATTCAGTAAATGTTACATAGTTCTCTCATTTCTCTCTCTTTCGTTTTCTTTTCTTTTATCTTCTTTATCTTTCTACGAAGTATATCCTAATGTTATTTTTATCTTTAATGTTTATTATGTTCTCTTATCTTTTTATCTTTAATCATTCTTGTGTTCTTATGTTATTGTTATCCAATATTTGTATTTATCTTACCCATTTTATCTTACGTTGTCTTTTTTTCTTTCTTTTTTGGCTCTAATTTTCATGGACCGATTCATGTTAGTCAATTCAAAAATCTTTTTGGAATAAGGTTGAGATTTTTTGTTGTACACAAACAGTGCTACACAACTCAGGTAAAATATAGTAAAAAATGATACATCAGATCTACATCATCTTCATTAAATAATTTAAATTTACGTGAAATATAAAAAGAAAATCATCACATTAACATAATCTTCATTAAGTTACATGAAAACATAAAAAGAATATCATTACATTATTGAATATAATAGAAAAACTCATCATTCTTCATCTTTGTTTTAAGTTGAATACTTGCTAGTTGTAATTCATAGTTGCACTATGTGAGCTAAGATTTAAATTATACTCCCTCCGTAACACAATAAGTGTCACATACTCCTTTTTGAACCGTATCAAAATAAGTGTCACATTTTTAGTTTGAAAAAGAAATTCGCCACAAAAATAAATACAGTGCACTGATAAACTAAACAATACCCCTGTTAGGAAATTGATGTAACGTACCTCGAAAGTACGGCAGCGGAAGTTTAAAATTTTTCCAAACAGATCTTTCCTGATTATGACAAAATAACGAATATGATAATTATAACAGATTTGAGTTAGAACTTACAGATCTTCCAGCCTAGCGGTGATAATCCTTGACCTTTGGTATCCACGTGATTTCTCCTTTCCGAAATAACGGTTAGATCTCCCTAAGAGAAAGGCTAGGAAATCTCTTCGCAGGAAAATAAACTGGTAATACTGGATCTGAAAACTGGTCTATGAATTATGAAGGAGGATGGTGTATTTATACTAGTTCTAAACTAGTTTTCCAATCACAATGAAAGTCTTACTCATTAATGAGTTCTAGTCCAACTAGGCTCAATAAATATTGTACTTAATTAAATAAATAAATTAATATAAATGATTGTTAGAGGGGAGGATGGCTCACGCCACTCCTTCCTCTCCTAATATTATTTATATTCTAATTTTCCTTTAATTCTAAATTATAAAGAAAATATCAACTTTATTTAATTAAAATTACATCTTAATTAAGTATAATAAATCTAATTTATCAAACTTAATTAATTCTATCAAATAGAACTTTCCTTCAACATGATGAATTGAATATATTAATCTAATTAATAATTAACTCATCTTATTTTCAGCATTATGAATTAAATATTATTTAATCCAATTAATAATATTTAATTCCTTCTAACAATTCAATCGGAAGGTATAATCACTTGTTGTGTGACCCATAGGGCCTTGTATATTAAGCACTAATCAAATTAAGGTGTTAGTAGAATCCCCAGACGATTTACCAGACAAATTTAACATATAAGAACGTTTGCGAGGACTATTCAAACTCCCTGTAATATAGAGTTCATAGTGATACGGTCCTTTCATTCAGCGAACATTCAACTAAGTCTAGAACATGATATTGTGTCTATTCCAATAACTCAGTCTCTTTCTCTCAATCTTTCTAGATGATCCATTACGATCATATTCGATATCCAAAACGAATATATCTTTGCATTGGCCAATGACTTTATGATCCATCTATATATGAGAAGTAGAATGTTCTCTCTTAATCTATTATGAGGAATGAATCCTTTCTTGGCTCAACTACTACTCCATGTGCTTCGTGATGCACCCAACACATGCCGTATCTACCCCGATTGGAGTGCAAGCGTTGGTCATGGTCAAAGTAATCACTCTGCACATGTAGTACGTATTGACCTCAAATCGGAGGACTATTACACTACTCTATACGCCGATAATCCCATAGACACATGAATAGAACTTATCAAATGGTTTCTCGGTGGGTATGCCAATATTCTCTAAAATATCTATGTGACCATCATGAATTACAGGAACTCATAGTCGTGAGATCAACTATACTTTCTAAAAGTATGATGCAGTCAGCATACCAATCTTATCGCATATCATCAATATCCCATTCTTGATGATCATTGATTGGGGCCTTTTTAGGACCTTATGTTATATCATATAAGCTCCCACTTACTTATTGACAACATAAATCCAAGGGAACACAATTATGAATAAAACATTGACAATCGAAAACAGTCATTCATAAAGTGTAATACCGTGTATATATCAAATATAAAAACTAAATGTGATCAAGTACATATGTCTCTAAAAAAATGATTGTCGCTAGGACATATATACTAACAATCTCCCACTTGGCCTAGTGCCAATCACCAATGCGTCTAACACCTAGATTCTCAAAATGTCTAGTATGTTTCTCGCATCTCAAAGTGAATGGGCCAGCCAAATTGTCCTCTGCGGGAAGGTGTTCTATTGCAACATTTCCTCTTGCTATTTGTTCTCAAAACATGATAGCACACAAGTATTTTCTAGTTCCTTACTTTGCATCTTGGTTCCTTAGCTTGTGCAAATGCACCAGTACAGTCACAATAACAATTATTGGATAACTGTCACTAGGAACTACCCCTATTTCTTTAAGGAACTAATGTATCTAAACGCTTACCTATGTTGCATCAAATGCTACAATTTACTAGGTTCTAGTTGTCGAATTTACAATAGTTTCTTACTTGCAACTCTTGCAGCATTACTATTACATTGAGACTAAAAACATATACTGACTGTGACTCGTAGTTTTTCTTATGAAACTAGTGCTAGAATAATTAAATTCTACTAGTTCTTTCTGTCTACCAGAAACAAAAAGATATTCATGAAGATTTTGGGTGACCATTCTTTCACGAACTTCAATGAGGGGATATCATTCTCTATGATCAACATATATGATTATAAAGACCACGTTATCCTTGTTGCGCACTCTAAACACGCAAGCACCCTCATTTCATTTGATGAGTTCAAACGATTTGACTATTTCATCAAAAATTAACACTTCAACTCCTAGAGGCTTGTTTTAGTCCATAAATAGATTTCTCCAATTAACATATTGAATTAGAATTTGATATGGATATAAAACCTTCAGGCTGTACCATGTACACCTCCTCCTTGAGGTTTCCATTAAGGAAAGTGGTTTTGACATCCATTTGTCAAATCTCATAATCATATTGAGCAGCTATAACAAGCAAAATCAAAATGGACTTGAGTTTTGCAACTGGTGAATAGGTATCACTATAGTCAATTCCTTTTCTTTGACTATAAGCTTTAGCCACTAGCCTAGCTTTGTATGTTCTCACCTTGCCTTCAACATTAATTTTCTCCTTAAAAATCATTTTGCATCCAATGGGTCTAACCCAACAGGCAAGTCAACCAAGTTCCATACTTGATTGATACACATCGAGTCCATTTTTGATTTTATGGCTTCTTGCCACCTCTATGAATCAACATATAATATTGCTTCTATGTAGGTCTCAGGTTCATCCGTATCAGGAATATTAACATCATCATGATCCTCAATGAGGAAGCCTAACCTAGTTAGTTCATGATGAATCCTAGTAGACCCGCAAAGTTGAATGTTTTGCGTTTTGTTCAGGCTGTTCATTCTGATCGTGAAGAGGTTCTCTTTCATTGGACTATCCAATGCTTAGAGAGTTTTCTCGTGCTACACTTTTAAGTGTTTCCAGAGAAAGAGAAGTGGGTGCAGAAGGAATGACAACCATGCCATTACTTTCTTCATAAGAATCACTTGCTGGTGCGAAGCGCTTCCTATATAACTCCCACTAGCTGAAGGATATCCTCCTAGAGACATTCTTCGACTTAATTCTCCCACTGAATCCTTCGTCAGACCATCTAACAAATCTTCATTCTCTATGTTACTTCAGCTTTCAATTTTATTAGTGCACATTTCTTTACATATGTAGGGCAACCCATATTTAATATATGAAGAAAATGTCTTTTACTCATATAGTACATTTTGCACTAATCAAACTATTCAGAATGTATATTGAGATTTATAGCGTGTACCCTCAAAAGAATGTTTGGAAGAGAAAATGAATTCATCATAGATCTAGCCATGTCTAACAAAGCCCTATTTATCCTTACAGAAACGCCAGTCTTCTAAGGTGTTCTGGAGGAGTTCATTATGACCGAATTCTTTGACCTTTTAAATAAATCAGAAATTTTACTCAAGTACTCTTTGGCTTGCTATCCTTTTTCCTAGAAAAGGTTTATTAGTCAAGTTGCTTGAAAGACAAGATTCGCAATTTCCATGTGACTCAAAAGCAAATGGTGTTAAATAATCTAATTCATTTAACGTTGCTATTCTTGTTTCATTAATTTGACCAAGTTTGCAATGTCATAGATAGGTAGTCATTTTTTCTGATTACTTAATCGAGATCCTTTTATTTTATTCATTTAATATCTAATATGTCGATTGATAATTAACCATTCATAAGAAAAGAATTTCCACAACAACACCATTTTATGAAAATAACAATTATTATTAGCAAAATGGAAATAGAAATCTTTTAATGTCTAACATATGAATGGAAATAATCTTCTTGGTAATAGAAGGAATAAAATAACAATTATTTAATTCTAATCTAAAACCACTGGGCAAATCTAAACTATAAGATCCTATCACGTTCAGCAGCAACTTTTGCTCCAGCCTTCACGCGTAGGTCAATTTTACCTAGTCCAACTGCTACACTGCTTCTCAGGCTTCTGCACATTTTTACAAATGTGTAAGCCATAAGTTGTATCTAATACTTTAACAATGAGAGTTAGTTATAGACATATTTATTTAATGATAAAAATACCTGAGCTTGAAGCACCCGGTGCTTTGGCTAGATTAGCCTTATACAGCTCACAATCTCTCTTCCAATGCCCCCTTCTCTTTGCAGTAGAGCCAAACATCCTTTGCAACCTTTGGCTTCATATGACCTCCACCTTTAGGCTTCAGAGCTGTAGGAGTAGGTCCAACCTTACCTTTCTTCTTTTGCTTATTCTTGTTCTTAGAACGAGACTTAGCATTAGAGCTTACCATAAGAACAGTCTTTCCTTTAGAGGTTGAGACTTCATAAGACTTGAGCATGTTATAGAGTTCAGGCATGGTCGCTTTCGTTTTGTTCAAATTATAATTCACAATGAAGTTAGTAAATGAACTTGGAAGTGAATATAGGATGATAGCAGCTGAGACACGATCCTCAAACTTAATTCCGGTGGTAGCAACCCTTTCAATTAAGCCAATCATTTTGAGGACATGCTCAGACACGTTGCCACCCTCTTGAAGCCTACACTTGAAAATGTCTGTCAGAAGTTCATACTCTAGAGTCTGACTTTCTGAATCAAACAGACTTTTCAAGTGTTCAAGCATCTCGAAGGCGCTCATCCTATCGTGTTGCCTTTGCAACTCTATAGACATTGCAGCCAACATAACACATTGCACTGTTTTAGCATCAGTGGCGTGTTTCTCTCGAGCGGTCAGGTCAAACGTGGCAAACTCAGGAGAGTTGGCATCAGGAATCTTGGGTACCGGTGTGTCTAACACATACTCAATATTTTCTTGTCTAAGAACTAAACGCACATTTCTTTCCCAGTCCAGAAAGTTTGGTCCAGTAAGCTTGCACGTATCCAAGATACTTCTCAATGATAAATTCGACATTCCTAAGAGCCTAGAGAAGTTCAAATAGAACGGGAATTAAAATCATATATTAATTCCTATGATCACATTTAGTAAACTAAATAAGTTGGACTTTTAATTATTTAGCTCCCACTATTTTTACATGCTCTTTGACCCCAATAAAAAGAACATGGATTGTTTTCATAACCATAGTGGCCAAGATCCACATTCATATTATTACAGTCCCAACTTGGGCTGATCACTGCAATAATATAATGGGTAGGTCCCTAGACCAATTGCATCAAAGCAACTCTTGGTTGATCAATTTTTAATTGATCGACATCCCTAAATTAACACTGACGCTTGGGCGACTCGAGCTAATTTAAGTAAGTCAAAACCATCACACGATCTCAAATATATGTATCTATAAATTAGGTCTATATTTTATCAAATGGAATAAACACTTGGGTGAAATATTCTTCAACGAAAAAATATTTCTACTAATTTAATTATGATGGGTGATGTCGTTATCCTAGATAAGACTTAAAATTTTAATTTATGGGGAACATTTAGCGGGGTATAAATTATTCTATTTAATCAAGATGCTAGAACATATTATCAAACAATATGTTAACGAGATCTAACTCAAACATATAAAATTAAAGCATGCAATGTGCATTTAATTCAAAAACAGATATAATTATCTAATGAGATATGCTTTAAACAATAAAATAATCAATGATTAAATTCAAATTAATCTTTCACAATCTCAAAGATATTTAATCTAACCAAAAAGATTAATTTAATTTAATCATTATTATGATAAAGCAATAATTTATGATACGTAAATCATGGAAGTTGTATACAGTACGAACTCTAGTACTCTACTCAAAATTAGGATTTGAATTTGCAACAAAACTCTCCAAAGCATGCATCGTAGTCCAGATACAAGGAACCTTTAATAGCTTAACATATACGTATTACGTAGTAACAACTTTTCTTTAAAAAAAAATTCGGAAATTTCAAAATTATCCCAAAAATAACCCAGCTGGAAAAGAGTTCTAATTTGACTACGGACAGATCTTCCATGCTTAAACTGGAGTTATGCAACACTGCTGCCATCGATGCTTATCGGAGGAAGGCGAGCAGATTTCACCGGATTAGCAGATCGCTATCGCCGTTAATTTCGTCCGCCATAGTTAATGATCGAAACGTTGTTTATAGAAAATCAACGACATCGTGAGAATCTTCCGGATCAGTCAAAAAGACGAAGAATACATCTTCCATAGGGCAGAACGAGATTGTCATCTCAATTCATAACGCAAATAGGAAAAACAAAAAGCAAGAAGAGAAAAGAGGATCGCTCCTCTCTTACAACCACAGAAGGCTGGCAGACCCCCACCTTATTTTGTTTTAATTACTTATCTTAATAAATCTAATTGAAAATTAAGATCAGAAAATTTGTTCACAAATTCGCATAATGTCATTACAATCAGTTTGACTCTGATACCACTGTTAGGAAATTGATGTAACGTACCTCGAAAGTACGGCAACGGAAGTTTAAAATTTTTCCAAACAGATCTTTCCTGATTATGACAAAATAACAAATATGATAATTATAACAGATTTGAGTTAGAACTTACAGATCTTCCAGCCTAGCGGTGATAATCCTTGACCTTTGGTATCCACGTGATTTCTCCTTTCCGAAATAACGGTTAGATCTCCCTAAGAGAAAGGCTAGGAAATCTCTTCGCAGGAAAATAAACTGGTAATACTGGATCTGAAAACCGGTCTATGAATTATGAAGGAGGATGGTGTATTTATACTAGTTCTAAACTAGTTTTCCAATCACAATGAAAGTCTTACTCATTAATGAGTTGTAGTTCAACTAGGCTCAATAAATATTGTACTTAATTAAATAAATAAATTAATATAAATGATTGCTAGAGGGGAGGATGGCTCACGCCACTCCTTCCTCTCCTAATATTATTTATATTCTAATTTTCCTTTAATTCTAAATTATAAAGAAAATATCAACTTTATTTAATTAAAATTACATCTTAATTAAGTATAATAAATCTAATTTATCAAACTTAATTAATTCTATCAAATAGAACTTTCCTTCAACATGATGAATTGAATATATTAATCTAATTAATAATTAACTCATCTTATTTTCAGCATTATGAATTAAATATTATTTAATCCAATTAATAATATTTAATTCCTTCTAACAATTCAATCGGAAGGTATAATCACTTGTTGTGTGACCCATAGGGCCTTGTATATTAAGCACTAATCAAATTAAGGTGTTAGTAGAATCCCCAGACGATTTACCAGACAAACTTAACATATAAGGACGTTTGCGAGGACTATTCAAACTCCCTGTAATATAGAGTTCATAGTGATACGGTCCTTTCATTCAGCGAACATTCAACTAAGTCTAGAACATGATATTGTGTCTATTCCAATAACTCAGTCTCTGTCTCTCAATCTTTCTAGATGATCCATTACGATCATATTCGATATCCAAAACGAATATATCTTTGCATTGACCAATGACTTTATGATCCATCTATATATGAGAAGTAGAATGTTCTCTCTTAATCTATTATGAGGAATGAATCCTTTCTTGGCTCAACTACTACTCCATGTGTTTCGTGATGCACCCAACACATGCCGTATCTACCCCGATTGGAGTGCAAGCGTTGGTCATGGTCAAAGTACATCACTCTGCACATGTAGTACGTATTGACCTCAAGTCGGAGGACTATTACACTACTCTATACGCCGATTATAATCCCATAGACACATGAATAGAACTTATCAAATGGTTTCTCGGTGGGTATGCCAATATTCTCTAAAATATCTATGTGACCATCATGAATTACAGGAACTCATAGTCGTGAGATCAACTATACTTTTTAAAAGTATGATGCAATCCACATACCAATCTTATCGCATATCATCAATATCCCATTCTTGATGATCATTGATTGGGGCCTTTTTAGGACCTTATGTTATATCATATAAGCTCCCACTTACTTATTGACAACATAAATCCAAGGGAACACAATTATGAATAAAACATTGACAATCGAAAACAGTCATTCATAAAGTGTAATACCGTGTATATATCAAATATAAAAATTAAATGTGATCAAGTACATATGTCTCTAAAAAAATGATTGTCGCTAGGACATATATACTAACAACCCCTTCAATATGCTACAATAATGAATGATGAATCTTTTATGAACATGCAAATTATCTTAAAATTCATCTCAATATCCGAGTATATTTTACTACTTTGTAAAATAATTTCACGTACAGGTTGATGGGATATTCAAGATGGTGGTAGTTCCTATACTTGGTCAGCTTGCAGATGATTATGGGAGAAAACCAATTCTACTTCTCACTGTATCAACTACAATCTTCCCTTATAGTATGCATCAAATAAATTCCTATTTTTTGATTTCCTATTATCCAGGTCATGTTTCTACTTTTGCCAGGCACTTGCTTCTTCTTAATTAGTCTAGTCCTCTATTTGGTGTAAAAATTATGGTTACTGTTAGAAATCCGGACCGGTTGAGACCTCAATCACCACAAAGCCCAAGGGCTTGCTCACACTCACCACCAGAGTTACAACCAGGGAAGACGAAGGGCGACAGCCAACAAGCCCTCACAACCAGAACCCAGACCCCAGCCCAGAAGACCCACCAGAGGTAAAACCAACCCACCACACTACTAGACTAGAGTGAAGATCCCCAAGGGAACCCCAACGTATCACCGGAGTATAGCCGGAGCTAGTATTCTCCGGGAACAGAAACTCTCTCACTCTAGGTCTAGGGAAACCAACCGATTGCCTCATCGAAAGAGGGAAGAAGGGGAGGAGTCAAATAGGAGATTCGAGAAAGAACCAGACAATATAAGAGAGGGCCACACGGGCATGGGCTGGGTATAAGACAAGGGAAAAGGAAATGGGCTTGGTCGGGTTTCCAGCCCAGTTGGGCCAGAACATTAAATAGGAGACCATCATAATAAATGAGGTGGACCAAGACATAGAGGTGGCCCGGGTGAGGTGGACCAATACCATCAACAATCTCCACCTTATTGGTCCCCCTGGTGGTGTAGAGCACAACGTGAAAGGGAGAATCATCATCGCCGGTTTTTCTTGTTTTACAATTCTTATCTAGCCACAATCTAAATTAAGAATACGTTTACAAGACAACAGTTTTTCAAAAGTGAGACATTTAGTCCCCATATCAGCAGGATTAAATTCAGAAGGTATCTTGAACAACTTTATCCAACCTGCATCCACAATATTTCTTATAAAATGAAACCTGACATCAATGTGCTTTGTCCTGTCATGGAATACAGGATTTTTGCACAATTGGATAGCAGACTGGCTATCAGAGTAGACTGTCACAACCTGCTTAAGAAAACCAATTTCAGTTAGCATTCGTTTAAGCCAAATAGCCTTTTTAAAGGCCTCAGTGGCTGCCACGTATTCAGATTCAGTAGTGGACAGTGCAACAATAGGTTGTAGTTGAGATTTCCAACTTATGCAGGAACCACAAAGAGTAAAAATGTAGGAAGTAGTAGACTTTCTATTGTCCCTATCATTTACATAATTGGAGTCAACATAGCCAGTAAGTAAAATGCCAGTTTCAGTTTTAGAAAACACAAGACCATGAGAAGATGTACCCCTAAGGTATCTAAGGAGCCATTTAAGGGCAGTCCAGTGAGACATACCAAGGTTTGCCATATATCTACTTAAGCAGCTAACAACATAAGCTATATCAGGCCTTGTGTTTACCATGAGATACATGACTGACCCTATAGCACTGGAATAGGGTACAACCTTCATCCTATCTATCTCAAGAGCAGTCCTTGGGGACTGGTCCTTGCTTAGCACAAAGTGGGGTGCTAAAGGAACATTCACAGGCTGGGCAGAGTCAAGATTGAACTTTTTCAAGACCTTTTCTAGATAGGAGGTTTGGTTCAGGGTAAGGGTACACCTACTCCTATCCCTAAGTATATTAATCCCTAGGATTCTCTTAGAATCTCCAAGGTCTTTCATAGCAAAGTTTTCACAAAGACACTTTTGAACAATCTTAATAGCATTTACAGAGGGGCTAATGATAAGCATGTCATCAACATAGATCAACAAGAAAACAGGTACAGATGCAGTATTCTTAAAATACAGACAAGGGTCAGAATCAGACCTTTTGAAACTCAGGGAAGACATACACTGATCAAACTTGATATTCCATTGTCTGGGAGACTGTTTCAGACCATAGAGGGCCTTCCTAAGTAGACAGACATGTCTAGGGTACTTAGGGTCAACAAAACCCTCAGGTTGGGTCATGAAAATCTGTTTATCTAGTTCACCATGCAGGAAAGCAATGGTAACATCCATCTGCTTCATCTCCTAGTCATTATGGGCAACTAGGGCAAGCATCATCCTAATTGTGGTGAATTTTACTACGGGAGCAAAAATTTCAGCATAGTCTACACCTTCCTTTTGAGTGAAACCTTTTGCCACTAACCTAGCTTTAAACCTAATGTCATTAGGTTTTTCTTTAACTTTGAAAAGCCATTTGCACTCAACAACAGAACAATTAGGAGTCCTAGGAACTAGGGTCCAGGTTTTATTCAACTTAAGAGAATCTATTTCACTTTGCATAGCACTTAGCCACTTTTTAGATTCTCTAGAGGCAAGGGCTTCCTGGTAGGTTTTAGGCTCATTCAACTCAAGAGTTTCAAAAACAGAGAAAACAAATAAAGAAGTATCATAGAGGTGAAAAGCATAGTCAGTCATGCTATCAGAAATCTTCTTTATGTTTCTTCTAGTCCTATCTCTGGCTAACACATAATCATCTAGACTTTCATTTTCAACTTGGATCTCACCAAGTTCTTCATTATCAGCAAAATCAGATTGAACAATCACATCATGCAAATTTTCATCATTACTATTAGAACCACTGGGCTGCTCCACCTCACTGGAGGTGGAGTGGGTATCATGCATAGTGTTGGTCAAGTCAGGAGTGATAAACTCATTTAACAGAGGGGCAGCAGCGGTCTGGATAGGCTCCACCTCACTGGGAGAGGTGCCATCATGCACAGTTTGAGGGTCAGTCACATTTTTAACTAAGCAGGGAAAATCACTTTCATTGAACACAACATTTCTGCTTATAATGACCTTAAAACCACTCTGATTCCTATCCCAGATCCTATACCCTTTAACACCTTCAGGATATCCTAAGAAAATGCATTTCTTAGACCTAGGGTCCAGCTTATCAGTCTGTTGGTGTACATAGGCAGCACATCCAAACACCTTTAGGTGTGACAGGTCAATGGGTTTCTTAGAGAAGACAGCCTCAGGACATTTACCATCTAAGGGTACAGAAGGAGATCTATTTATCAAGTAGGTGGCAGTGTTGACAGCTTCTCCCCAAAACTTCTTGGGGAGGCCATAAGTGGCAAGCATACTCCTAACCTTGTCTAGGAGGGTCCTATTCATTCTCTCAGCCAAACCATTCTGTTGGGGAGTATAGGGCACATTTTTGTGTCTCCTAATCCCACTCTCAATACACAACCTATCCATATCCTTATTGCAGAATTCTAATCCATTGTCAGTTCTAAGGGTTTTAACCTTACATCCAGTTTGATTTTCTACCATAATTTTCCATTCTTTAAACCTAACATACACATCAGATTTATGTTCTAACAAACAGACCCAGACTTTTCTAGAAAAGTCATCAATTATGGACAGAAAATACCTCCTACCCCCATGGGTAGGGACACTGGAAGGACCCCATACATCTGTATGTATGTAGTCAAGAACAACTTTGGACTTAGGCTCACTAGGATAGCTAGAAACAGGAAACTGAACCCTATGTTGTTTACCTAAGACACAACCTTCACAGAAAGGTATAGGTGACACCAAGTCATTACCAAAACATCCAGTTTGTTTCAAAATGTTTAATCCTCTATTACTCATGTGACCTAGTCTTTGGTGCCAAAGCACAGACTTGTCACTAAGTACAACATTAGCATTTTCAGAAAAAGGTTTGGCATGCACAACATAAAGGTTATTTTGTTTCAAAGCTTTAAACAAAACAAGGGAGTTTTCAGAATTTTCATACACCCATTACCCCATTTACCCTCAAGACCACATTCTTCAAAAGCAGAGACTGAAAATAGGTTATGCCTTAGATCAGGTACATGCCTGACATTTTTTATTTGAAAAATAGTTCCATTTTCAAATTTTAGACAGATGTCACCAATACCAAAGACCTTACACCTTTTACTATCAGCTAGGGAAACAAAACCAGTTTCATAGAAGTTATAAGAGGAAAACAGATTCCTAAAAGGGGTCATATGGTAGGTACACCCAGCGTCTATTAACCATTCAGATTCAGTCAGACTACTAAGCACAGATATGGCTTGATCACAGACCATAAAGACTTCTTCCTCTACAGGTTTACTAGTCACAGCATTAGCCTGGTCATTTCTCTTAGGTTGGGTGCAATCTTTTATGAAGTGTCCTGGGTTACCACAATTATAGGAGACTCTTTTTCTAGACTTATACCTCTTCTTTTTAGGTTGTCTACCATTCTTATCCTGATTGTCCTTTTTAGGGTGTCTAGACCTGCTTTTAGACCTTCCCCTAACAAACAAAGCTTCCCCAGATTCCCTATGATGGTTCCTAGAATGTTTGAAGTCAAGTTCTTTACTTCTCAGGCCATTAATAACAATATCTAGGGTTATGTCATCCCTTCCATATTTAATGGCAGACTTAACATCATTATAGGAATCAGGTATAACATTCAATAAGACTATGGCAGTGTAGTCATCTATATGTTTATCCCTAGCCTGCTTAATGTTTTGGATTAGTTTATTGAAAACATCTAGGTTTTCATCAATATCTTTTGTTAGGTCAAGTCTGAACCTAAAAAACTTTTCCAACAAAAACAGTTTGCCAGGAAGGGAAGTATCAGTATATAGAGACTCAAGTTTATCCCAGAGGTCTTTAGCAGATTCAATGACTCCAACCTTTCTAAGGACAGATTCAGACAAGTTTAAATATATGGTTGAGCAGGCTGTTTCATTCATTTCAACTTGTTTAGGTTTTTCTTCAGTTTCTAAGTATTGTCCAGTAACAGCTCTATGAGCTTTCTGTTGAATTAACACACATTTTATTTTCTGTTTCCAAATATCAAAATCAGTCTTACCATTAAAAGGCATCATACCATACTGGTTTGAAGCCATGATAACAGTCAGAAAACAAAACTGCTGAGATACAGGTAATATAAAGGCTTAACCCTGGTGGTTTGGGCTGCGGACTAAGTGACCACGCAGTTTCGGGGCCACTGAAGTGGCTGGCAGGGAATCACTTAGCCCTAACCTCAGGTGCCCTAGCCAACCAGGGGTTAGGAAGCCACACAATTACCAGAACTCAACACCAAGCACAGGAAAATTAACAGACTGACTGAGCAGAGAAATAACACAAATAATACAACAGAAATTAGGGCAAGCTACAACAATACAGAGACAGGTTCAGAGGTAATCACATAGAGAATGAATTTAGCAAAACAAGTTCACATATAACCAGTGGCCAAGTTCGACACAGATTGGACCACTCATGCACTATTTCAACGGACTTAGGGTTTTTGCAGATCTGTCTAGACAGAATCTGAACATGCAAACGGAAAAGCTAGGGTTTCTAACCGGCAGTTCCTTAACCTAGGGTTACAGAACTACCCATGCAACACAGAAGCCGGTGGCACTCCGGCAGCCCAAAGGTTAGGGTTTTGGTGTTATACCTGAGCGGGTGTCCAGCAAAGACAACCCGACTTACCAACTTCGATGGAGCAGTAGTTGTTTCCGGTGTGGGAGTTGTCCGGCGAACTTCCGGCGTCAGCGAGAGGCAGCAGCGTCCAGGCTCTGATACCACTGTTAGAAATCCGGACCGGCTCAGACCTCAATCACCACAAAGCCCAAGGGCTTGCTCACACTCACCACCAGAGTTACAACCAGGGAAGGCGAAGGGCGACAGCCAACAAGCCCTCACAACCAGAACCCAGACCCCAGCCCAGAAGAGCCACCGGAGGTAAAACCAACCCACCACAGTACTAGACTAGAGTGAAGACCCCCAAGGGAACCCCAACGTATCACCGGAGTATAGCCGGAGCTAGTATTCTCCGGGAACAGAAACTCTCTCACTCTAGGTCTAGGGAAACCAACCGATTGCCTCATCGGAAGAGGGAAGAAGGGGAAGAGTCAAATAGGAGATTCGAGAAAGAACCAGACAATATAAGAGAGGGTCACACGGGCATGGGCTGGGTATAAGACAAGGGAAAAGGGAATGAGCTTGGTCGGGTTTCCAGCCCAGTTGGGCCAGAACATTAAATAGGAGACCAACATAATAAGTGAGGTGGACCAAGACATAGAGGTGGCCCGGGTGAGGTGGACCAATACCATCAACGGTTACTAAATGATTGATAGGAGATTAAAGTGTGAGGTTAGATTACTGGTAGAGAATAATTCCATCTACAGCACTGTTGGAGTCAATACTACATGGATGATCAGAACCAATAACACTAATTTTTTTTTTATATCCTAAGAACATAGGCCTATGAAATGGAAGGACACAATGGGAGAAAATCATGGGCTTTTTGGGGCTAAGCCAAGCCAAATCTAAGCACTTTTATTGATATGATTAGGATTACATTTACAAGAAGGCATGTAAGACATTCATGGAACTTGAAGCTCAATGTAGGAGACATAGCTTATGGATTATCCAAATTTATACATGCCAAAGGATATTCTGACTGTAAATTCATCTAAGGTTAGGAGAGCATTTCAGTTTTAGTTAATTGTTCTTAGCATGTCTTGGATTGAAGCCTAGGCTATATATGTATTGGAATATTTTCCATACTGGTAAAATGTGAACAAATAAACTAATATATAACATATCGGGCTACGCCTATCCGGTTGTCGTTGAACTTTTAGGATGAAACTCCATGTTTTAACACTATCTAGCCTTTATCCCAAGTTAAGTTAAGTATATTTCCTATATTAAAGCTTGTAAGAATATGGAGATTCCCAGCAAGCATTTAATACTGAACTTTATAAAAAACACCAAGAGGATACCAACTTTGTCAAAAGCAATGATAAAATGGTACAAAGTATATATTGAAAGATATTTCATTCTTTCTTGTACATAAGATGTTTGTTTTAGTGTTTTACCATCTTATGTCATTTATTTTTTATTCGTGCCATTAAGAGCCGTAACTCATGTTCTTTCTTTTGCAGTTTTACTTGCCATTAGTCGGTCAAGGGGTTTCGTATATGCTTTCTATGTGGTTCATACACTTTCTAATGTAATAAGTAGACATGGAAACATTTTCTGCATCTCGTATGCTTATGCGGTATGACCCAATGTTTATGTCGTCAGAAAAAGCACAACTATCTAATAAGATTGATAACTTAATAACGAACATCTAATTGTATTATAGGCAGATGTTACTGATCAGAGGAAGAAAGCTGTAGTTTTTAGTTGGATGACAGGTTTCTTTTCTGCTTCTGATATCCTTGGAAATGTCTTGGCACGTTTTCTTCCAGAGAAATATATTTTTGAGGTATTGGGTGCCCGACCCTAATTTGTTAAATCTTCCGTGAAGTGTTAATTTCTGATCATTATCATGATGATGTTTCAGGTTGCAATAGGTCTTTCGATCTTTACTCCTGTTTACATAGCGTTGTATCTAGTGGAGACTGTTGAACCTATTAATGGAGTGAATCAATGTCCTCCTAATGTGAACAAGGCAAAGAAGTTTTTGTGGGAGCGATTTGCCTCTATGAAATGTGCTATAATGATTGTCATCAGCAGGTGAGGTGATACACATTATAGGTTCATGTTTGCCAAGAGCATATTGCGTATATTGTATTGCACTTTAATCTTCTTTTATTTTTTATTTTCTAATCATTATTCAAATACTTATTAGTCCAACATTGAAGTGCATCACACTGATAAGTTTCTTCTTCAAGCTCGGAATGTCCGGCATCGATGCAGTCTTACTGGTTTGTATATTTCATCTCCTTATCATAAAGATTAACCTTTGCTGATTGAGATTGAAAGAAGGGCTCTTTTATTATCATCTATTTATATTCCTCTTACAATTGGTGAGTTCATAAACACGCAGTACTATTTGAAAGCTGTGTTTGGTTTTAAGAAAAATCAATTGTCAGAAGTTTTGATGGTCGTGGGAGTAGGTTCAGTTGTATCTCAGGTAATACTTGCAATGCACATCAAATAGAGAAGGGAACTAAACATGCTATTTACACTTCCATTTTTTGTCTTGTGTCAAGATGGTTGTGCTTCCGCTTATCTATCCGTTTGTTGGGGAGAAACTGATGTTTTGCATTGCCTTACTGTCATCAATAGCATATGTAAGATGATGTGTCAATTCAATTTGTGTTTCCAACCAATTTTATTTATGTACATGGAATACAAGAATGTACCCGCACGGGTAGCTCAGTTGGTTCAGTGGTGGGAAATTTGGACCAAGTGACCAAGGTTCGAAACCCGCAGCGGCCGTGTGGAGGTCACAGAACCTGAAATAAGGCTGGGCCTCTGATGCCCACGGGAAAAAGGCCTACCATCATTGGACCGATTGAGTCACCGTGATTAACATCCTTCCAAAAATCCTATCGGGTCAGGGTATGGGGGCTCCTGGGGTGGGAGATTCCACTACCAAGACTTGAATTGTGACCTTTCAGCTACAAAATGACACTTCTAATTTAACTTTTTTATCCGAAAGGCGCTGCTTTATGGATTGGCTTGGGCACCATGGGTATGCTCTTTTCCAAGTAGATAAGTTTCATCTGTTGATATGACTTCATATTAGTTTGTCTCCATTTCACTAGTTCTTTTGACTACAAATATTTCTCTACACAGGTGGCTTATTTGAGTGCATCTCTTGGAGTCATCTTTGTCCTATTTACACCGGCTGTAAGCCCGCACCTCATTATAATAAGCCTAATGGGTTGATGACAGTCTTATGCTATTATTCATATCCGCAATTGATTTATCTTAACTATTTTAATTAAATTGATGACAGTCTTATGCTATGATATCCCAAGCAATAAGCTCAACTGATCAGGTTTGAATAATATGATCTTCAGTCTCCTACCCATTTTCTTAGAAGTCCAGGTAAAATGTACAGAAGAGAACAAACATGGACATTGTCTAAGAGATACATTGTCAACTACACTTAGTATTTGCTCTTATCGTATATTGCCATAAGCTTATAAAGATGTTGGTGTGTAGGGTAAAACATTAGCACTTGTGGATGGTGTGAAAGCAATTGCAATTTTTTTATCTCCGATCGGGATGAGTCCATTGACTGGTAAGTTTGAAGAACTTGCACTGTAAACTAGATTTCAATCCATTGATATGGAATGAATATCGGTTGTTAATATTGGCCCACATTATTAATTAATTAATTACTTATTATGTTCTTCCAGCTTGGTTCTTGTCTGAAAATGCACCATTCAACTTCAAGGGGTTCAGCTTTATCTGTGCTTCTTTGTGCTTGGTAATCTACTTAATGCCTCTCAATGTCATTAAGGTTCCGGTACCAATTTTTTTGTAAAAGCCGAACCCGGCTAGTAAACCCTCAGTTTCAAACCGGACGTACTATGTAGTGCCGGTTACGGTTGCGATTCTGGTTCATGTTTAATCGGAAACCGCGGACAGGTCTAGACGCACCTTAATGTATATCATGATAATTATTAATAAATGTCTTAGGTTGTGGCATTATGCTACGCTTGCACGCTGCCAAAGCAAGTGCCGTTGGAGAAAGCCTCCGAAGACGAGATAGAGAGAATCGAAGCGCCTGTTCTTTCTTCACAGTGAACTGAGGGGTGATCATTTGTGCACCGCCAAATACACTGCCTGGGTGAAAAGATTACTTTCTGTATACAACTGTATAGTACACCACATAAATTGCAAAACTGTATGATGAACTTATGAAGTGTTGATTCACCTGTATAGTGCACACCAACAAATTGCAGGATTTGGATGATAAATTTTCTGTTCTTTACTGAACTGTATACACTAAAAGTTCTGTAATATCATAAATGATATAAAGGCTGAACTACTAGTGTTGTAGTTGTATAGCTAGTATCAAATATTAACCGCAATCTTTGGTTTGTTTTTTATATGAGTTCATTTACCTAGTGTTCTGGTTCCGGTTAAACGGAACCTCCATTTTTTAACCGGAAGTACTTTGTGAAGTTTTGCATGAATGTTTTAATTTTCCCTATAAAATTACTCATTGAAAGTGTGTGGATAATAATGTGACTAAAGTTACTGTTATGTAAAGTTTAAACATAATTATAGTTGATGAATGTTACATTTATCACATTTTAAAATTAATTGAAAATCTTTTGATATTATATTCAGGAGTCTTACGCATCGAGTTGGTTCTACATTGTTACAAAACAGAGCTAAAATTTAATAATTAAATATCAATCAAATGAGTTTTTTGTAGTATAAATTTAGACATCCTTATTAATTTTTTAAAGCTCAGGATTTATACTTTGTTGTGAATAGAATATAACTTTCTTTTGGTTTTAAGTAACATTATTAATATCTTATTTTGTGGGAGTTCATGCAAAAGTTAGAAAGTCTATTATATGTAGGTGAAATGTTTGACTTGCCTTTTCTTAGTTACTCTATTATTTGTTCATTTCTTATGTTAATGTTATTGAATATGACTAAGTTGTTTTTGTATACCTCGATAAATTAGAAATCTGTACACCTTTTTTTCTTAAACTTATTGTGTTTATCAGTTTTCATTTACTTTAGACTTGATTATTTGTGATTTCTATGTTTGTATGGTGTTATGTCATAAAACACTATAATTGAACACTATAAACCCCCTTTATAGTGGAGCCCCTCCTCCGCCCTCATCTCTCCCTCCTATCAGGGCCAACCCAGACCAAGGGCAGCCAGCCTAATGGCACACGGCCCAATCAAAACTAAGGACCCAAAAAAGTAGTACGTATATTAGGGTATGTTTGGTACAACTAACTGAAAAGATACTTTTGTGAGTTTTTTAATAATTGTTAGCTTTTAGTGACTGCAAAGATCTTAAAAAGAAAATGTGGTATCTGTTTGGTAAAAAGCTGACTGTTTGATTTAGTTCAGTTTGATATACAAGCTGTTATGATTAATTAATACTAAAAGTCACAAGTTTTTCTCAAATGCAACTCCCTATAGCATCTCATAAAAGATCTTTTACTTTTTGAAAAGCTCTTAAAAATTGTATAAATGCTTTTAGAGACTTTTTGAATAGTATAAAAGCTAGAAGACAGAGACTTATGGTGCCAAACATAGCCTTAGTTTCAGTCTGCCATAACCCCATCCGCAATCCCAGTCTGCCACTTTCTCCTTTGACTGCCCAAACACCATCCCCGCCCGTCATAATAATAGAATATTATTAGGCATATTTGTTTCCTAATATGTTTCAAACTCTTTTATTATATATATTCAGCTCAGGACTCCTATTGGAGTACCTTTTCCCAAATATTCTCACATGGTATCAAGAGCCTAGGGTTAAATTTTTTTTTTACGACTGCACTCTCTCCCTCTCGTTCGCTGCAGCCAACCATGTCCACCCCTCCCTCCGCCGTTTCCTCTGTCACGACGGTAGCTTCGTTCCCATCGGAACCACCGTCAGCCGCACAAATCACCACCGTTACTGCCTCAACCATACCTCCTTCGGCAGTCTCCTCTGCGGTGGTGTCGACCCAACAGACTTCAGGCGCCGTCTTCTCTCCGACACCGCAACCACATTACTCGGTACCTGCGCCAGAATATTCTTCCTCAATCTGGACGCCGCCCCACCAGTACCAGCTTCTCCACAATCTACTGGCGTCTCTTCCATGGCCATCGGCGGTCCCTCAGGCAATTTCACAGCCCATCCCGCCATATTCTCCTATATTTTATGGGCCTTCATTCGCTGGATCCCCTGGAATCACACGGCCATCTCACGACCCTATTATGTGTGGGTCTTCTATGACCTTATTGGCGCAGTCCCTATCTCATGGTGCCAATGTCAGTGAGATTGTTACTATCAAGCTCAAAGCTATTGAAGATTACCTTACCTGGCACACACAAGTTGAATCTTTTCTAGTATCTCTGGGACGCTTTGGAGTGGTTGATGGTTCCATCCAGGTACCACCTATGTACACACTGAATTTTAATAATCATCAAATCGTTAATAATGATTACTATCATTGGCTTAGGGTAGATCAATTTATTCATTCTTGGTTGTTTGCTACCCTATCCCGGGAGGTATTAACTGATGTGCATGATATTAAACATTCAGCGGCTATATGGACTCGTTTACAAACACGTTTTATGTCAGCTAGTTTACCTAGAGCCATGGACCTTAAGCGCACATTAAATTCAATTAAAAAGAAAGAAAACCAGTCAATGGAACATTATTTGCGTGATATTAAAAATCTGGCTGATGCTCTAGCTGCCATAAATTCTCCCGTGACCGATAAAGAAATATTGGAATGTACTTTGAATGGTTTGGGACCTGAATACGCGTCTATCGTGGACACCATATCTTTATTCTCGCATGAATTTCCGCCTGATATTCTACAACCCAGACTGATTGAGGCGGTACAACGTGTACTTCATCAGCGTCGTCAGGAGTCTTCAAACTTGCAGCAGGCCTTCGGTGCGCAAGCTGGTCCCAACCAGCCGGGTCCGCATAACCAGCAGCGGGCATACCGCGGCAGAGGTGGCCGTGGCAGGGGAAGCCGCGGCAGGGGTCGCGGACAGGACCAACATTTTTATTAGCCGGCCACCGGCATTCCACAACCGCCGGCAGTACCTGAATCCTCGGCCGTAGGGGGTGCTTCCACCTCGAGTACACACAATGCTTCCGCGGGTAATTCTGTCATGTCCAATTTAAATATTAATGCTAAATCTACTTCTGATACTCACTTTCATTATACAAGTTTCCCATCAGCTGAGGGTATTCTTGGCTCCGTTCCTTTCCCAGTTGTGTGTCAAATTTGTTTCTCTGCAGGTCACTCTGCACTACACTGCCCATCTCGTTTTACTCCGGCTTTTGTGCCTGCTTTGGTTGCTCCCAGTGGGGAATCCAATGATGCTCTGTGGTATCCGGACTCCGCTGCTTCTGCTCATATGACGTCGTCTGAAGGTATTTTGTCAAATAAATCCCTTTACTATGGCTCCATGACTGTTAGTGTAGCGAATGGTACTACTCTTCCTATTGCTAATATTGGAAATATTAGATTTAATACTCTCAGTCGCCCATTGTCATTAAAATCTGTTTTTGATGTGCCTCGACTTAAATTTAATTTAATTGCCATTCAAAAATTATGTGCTGATAACAATTGTGTTGCTATTTTTGACAAAAATTATTATTTTTGTTAAGAACAAATTTTCGGGGGCAGTTCTTCTTCAGGCGCGTCATAATGGTCATCTCTATCCTATCAGCCTTAGTCCGTCTACACCTTTAGCTTTAGCTACTATTTCTTCTCCTGGCCCCGTGTGGCACCGTAGATTAGGTCATTGTGGCGAATATGTTTTACGTCTGTTGCGTAGTACAAAACTTATTTCTAGTTCATCAAAATTTGAACATGATTGTATTTCGTGCCGTTTGGGTAAGTCCCAACGGTTACCTTTTTTGGATGCTAGTCATACTACTTCTGCTCCTTTACAATTAATTCATTCTGATGTGTGGCAATCTCCTGTTCTCTCTGATTTAGAATTTAAATAATATGTGTGCTTTATTGATGATTTTTCTCGTTTTACTTGGGTGTATCCCTTGCGCACCAAAAATGAAGTTTTTCACCAGTTTCGTCTTTTTAAACTTTTAGCTGAAAATTTATTTAATTCTAAAATTAAAATTTTTTAAAGTGATGGAGGGGGTGAGTTTGTTAATTCTCGTATGCAAATTTTTTTCTCTGAAAATGGCATCTATTTTCAAAAATCATGGCCTCATACTCCTCAACAAAACGGTGTTGCTGAACGCAAACATCGTCATATTTTAGAATTTGCTAGGACTATGCTTCTCACAACCTCTATTCCTAGCACCTTTTGAGTAGATGCTATTTTTACAGCTGCATATATTATTAACATGCTTCCTACTCCTAATTTGTTTGGTGTTTCTCCATATGATATTCTTTTTCAAAAACCTCTTGATTATAGTTTACTACGTGGTTTGGGTGCGCTTGTTATCCCAATTTTTCGGCCTCTTCTTCTAATAAACTCTCTCCTCGTTCTATACAATGTGTTTTTCTTGGCTATGCATCCGGGTTTAAAGGATACCGTTGTTTGGATCCCAAATCTGGCAAAGTTTATATCAATCGGCATGTTCACTTTCATGAAAACATTTTTCCTTATGCCACATTGTCTTCCTCTACGGGTCATCCTTAGCTTCCTCTGAATATAGTCCTCTCATTACTGATTTTAGTCTCACAAAGACCACCCCCTTTCCTCATAGTTCGACCACTACCCCCCCATACATGTTCCTGCCATAACCGAACCACCTACCCCCTTAGCCGAAGGTTCCCCACCACCGGTCCCCAGTCCATCCTCTCTACCTCCGTCACCCATCACCGACCCCATACCCCCTTCGTCTCCGGCCGACCATTTCCTTACACCGGCCGCATCCGTCACCTTGCCAACCGAACCTACCGCCACTGCCCTCCCCGACTCTTCCCCTCCACCGCAAGCTAGCTCTGCCCCCTTAACCAATACTCACCCCATGCAGACCAGGGCGAAGTCGGGAATTTTTAAACCAAAAACGATTTTTAATTTAAACACTGTTGCTTTATCAGCTGATCCAACTTGTTTTTCGGAGGCTAATAAACAGTTAAAATGGCGTGAGGCAATGGCTGAGGAATTTAATGCTCTTATTTCTAATAATACTTGGGATTTAGTGCCATTTGAAAAAACTAAAAATGCTGTGGGCTCTAAGTGGATTTTTAAGACTAAATATAATTCAGATGGTTCCATTGAGCGCCATAAAGCTCGTTTCGTAGCTCAAGGGTTTAATCAACAGGCAGACGTAGATTTCTCTGAAACTTTTAGTTCAGTTATTAAACCCACCACTGTTCGTATTGTCCTTACACTAGCTATTTCTTTTGGGTGGGTTATTCGTCAGTTGGATGTCAAAAATGCCTTTTTGCACGGTCACCTCACCTAGGAAGTATATATGC